TTAGTTTAACCCAATCTACCGCTATTTGCAAAGTGGCTACTTTTGCATCAGACACCCTGTATATATATATATATATATTTTTTTTTTTTTTTTTATATGCATATTTTATACAGAGCAAGAGCGAATGCTAGATGTGAAATGTAAGATAGTTTTCGTTACAAAAGTACCTTTTGAAGTTTTGTAAGAAAAGTATTTGAAATTTTAATCATAAAATGATTAAAATGACCTAATTAATCAGATACAAGGCGTTAAACATTTATGCCGAATCGGGATTTAAGCATTTCATTTTTACGAAGAAATAAATTACCGCTTGCACTAGAGTCTTACTTCATTAAGTATTGATTCTCATCTATGGCTTTTTCATTAATAAATTATGATTTTGTCATAAACGAATACATTTTCACGAGCGTGCGGAATTCAATACGTTGCTGTAATATCCAATGACTCATATTATACATGTAATTTATACTTATCATTAGAATGTTGTAATGAACCAATGACCATTGCGCCAACATGCGATTGCTTAATTAAATAATAAATGGCACTAGTGTATTTAGCGCAATATTAACGTACTTTATTATTTTCGAAATTAATAAACCGAGTAATTGGAATTTAACCAAGTAATTAACATGCCGAAGTTAATTAACCTATTATTATATGAGGTGAATAAAAATTCTTTGCATATAGTTTTCTCTATCTCTTGAAAACCGCACACTTATAGCCTATATATTTTTTTTTCTTTGTTCGCAGCATCATTTATTTTATAAGAATTATAAACTTGCTTTATCTCTTTCAGAGATAATTACTTTTCGCGAAATTTACGAGCAATTATTTCAAATATATGTATACTCTTTCTCGGTTAATAATTTTGCTTTAATAATATGCCTATTGTTTCTAATAGCTACTTAAACGAATTGACACATAATTAAAAAAAACGTTTATGAGGAATAATATGTAATATTCGATAAATTGTACATAATGTATTGGGACGATGATGTTATTTCGAAGATAATTTGCAAATGAAAGCTCTCTTACGTTGAAATATTATGTTTAAATCGATTGCATTATAATATAAATTATTACTGTCCTAATTAAGTAAAACTCGTAGTAATAGTTCGCAAAGATGTTACAAAGTTAGTACAAAATGCTGACTCGTAAGTATCGGCTTATTATCGCAAAATCGTGAGATTACGTTATATATCGTTAAATCTATTATGGAGATTGTTTGATGACTGATTTGGTAACCATCACTCCAGAAACATAATTCAGATTAAACGACTTGACCATTTAATAGTGATGATATAATCGTTGGTGCTTCATGCGAACGACCTTGGCGAACGAACGATCGGTCTTGGCTCTCCCGGTCTTGGAATCCGCCGTTGCACGCTGGTGCACTCGATCGGTAACTTCTTTCCTTTTTTTTCCTTACGCGCGATCCTTTGCGATATACTCGCGATTTCTCTCTTGGCCTTAATAGCACACTCGCCTGATTCTTTCTCCTACCCTTTCTCCGGCGTGACGGTATCGCATTGAAGGTCTTGCGGCGGGAATTCGTGTTCTCGGAAAAAAAAAATATATATATATATATGCAACTCACGATGGCGATGCAATATGAAAGATTGCATATGTCTCAACATACATATCAATTTAGCGATTGATTATTATGCATATTATCCTATTTCTACATTCAAACGGTCAAATTTACTAGCCAATTTCGAACAAATTTCTTCTTGTCATCAAAATGTGAAGAATTATCATTTTCTTAAGCTTGTTAAACTATTAATGTTGCAGATTGAGTAACTAAAACTTCGCACATACTTTTTTTATTTCGTTCGCAGCGCGCATTTATCCCACCAGAATTGTAAATTTATTAAGCATAATTGCTTTCTGTGGATTTTACAAAAATTAAATCTCTCGAATGACTAAATTGATGCGTATTATATTATATTATATTATACTTGAATTTGGTGTATTGTATTATTGAATTGTATTAAATTGTACCAAACCCAAAAAACTACCCTCTAATAAAAAGTGTTTCATATACATTTCTGTAAAGATCAATGTACAATGATATATTTCTTATGTGTATCCTATCTCTACTTTAGGCTATATTGTATTGGTTAATTATAAAGTTTGCATTACACACAAGTTTCTGCAAACATCTGGGTGACGGAAATTTAAACAAGCTATCTATGATTGAACTTTCTATAATGAACTAGGTAAACTTTTTGTATTATTCTATGCTTATATAATAATTTTGACTGTATAAATTTATAAGATAGCGAATTAGATTAGATTTAAATAAATCAGACTCAAAGTTGTTTTCAATATTGTACTTTTGTGTAAATTTTCAATTTTTTGGTGTAAAAATATACGCATTTCCTATGTATTGACATAAACTTTTGTAATAAATATTTAGCATATTGAAATAAATAAAATATGAAAAGTTATACGATGCTGATAATTGCAAGAAAAAATTATGCAACAATTTTTAATGCTAAGGAAAAATTATTATTGTTGTTAAGCTCGTGTTACACTACGTAGTGCGGATCGCGGATCAGATTGAGATTGTGGATCGCGGATTGCATTTCAGTCAATCAAACGAGATAGTACCCGATTGGTTGGATTGTGATCCGCGATTCGCAATCTCATCCGATCCGCGATCCTCAATGCATAGTGTGGCACAGGCTTTATATTATATTACTCGATTGTGTTTACATGTGCAGGCTTAGGTATGTACATAGTTACATACTCACTCTACTAACCACTCAAAGCTATAATTATATCTTTCTTTCGGATGTGCTAGCTGTGATTAAGAGAAATGCAAACCACAAATTTGCTGTTGTACAATATTCCGGAAATGGTCTTTTTTCACTTTCCTTACTTTGATATATCGTAGTACAAGAATTCTTAATCTTATTACATTATGTAATATTACATTTCGATTTCCGCAAGTTTGATTACGTAGAACTGATGCAGCGATACTTCGTAACGTGATATGCTCAGGAAACGAAAAATTTTACAGCGTTTATATCTTAGAAATGTTTTAAAATTTAGCTTTCTTTTAAGAAAATTATTATTGTTCTTCTAGACACTACGAATTTTCGTATACTTTGAAGGAAAAATTTCTGGCTAAAGCGTAAAAAAATAGAGGATTATTTTTAACATAATGCGTAATTGTTATAAAATGTTAAATAAATGTTTGTTTGCAAACAATGATTACAAAGTATGTTTATTAATAAAAGTTAATAAAAATTGAATTCAATATATGATTAAAAGCAATCTTTCGCATGATTAAATAAATTATTCTTTCAAATTACATTCTTTTATTTTAAAGGCAATATCTGGTAAATTTTTAAGTAAAGTTGTAAAGTAACAATCTTATTAAAATGCATTAAAGTATTATATAAAGTAAAGTTCCGTAAATAATTTAATATTAAAGATTTTTTGGAATTTAAGTTCCAGGATCTATAGGTTAATTGTTCAAAAATGTATAAGTTTTTCAATAACACAGAAGAGAGAAAAAATTAAAAAAAATAGACGGAAATGCACTCATCATTTTAATTACAGGAGGGTGTAATGCAAACGCTGCTAGGGATGCGTGCATGGACTGGGAGAGTCTATACTGAAGATAATCGTGCGAATTGCATTATACAACTTTCTTAATTCTTAAATGACGTAACGTAAGCTGTCGGCGGAGAAGAGAGGACAGAGGAGAGAACAACCTGGACCGATGCGGTTCCCTTGGTCATTCGGGGGAGACCCCACCAACGCCGTGATTGCAACAGCAGAATTCTAATGTTTTACTACCCCACTTCTTGCACTTGTTCGATCCCGAAAGTGGGAAGCACTTCGGACATACTCCAAACGATCGCGATCGCGGTTGTTCAGTTCTTTGGGAGCATTGGATCACGTGAGAACGATCATTACGAGATCGAAAGTTGTCTCGTAGGAGGATCGGCGATCGTTCCCTTTCGAGTACCGGTCAGTGTAGAGATCGGTGACGTTTCAATCCCTTTCTAAAAATTACTAGAAACGAAGCTCTTGTTTGTATCGTAATATCGTGAAAGAATTCCTAATTCGAAAATCGTATCGTGCCGTAGTATAATTTTCCTGTGCGTCGCGCGATCTTGGAAGAAGAAAGAAGAAAGAAGAAAGAAGAAAGAGACTCGGGATCGCGCGCGAGTTTACTTGAGTGGACTGCGCGAATTATCCTAGGATGAACTAGTGGATCCTATTATCGCACGTGATCTCGCGAGTTAAATTCGAAAGGTAAGCTCTGTCGCGGCGGCTCGCAGATCCATTATTCTTATAGAAAATACGCTCCCTCGAATAATTATCCTCCAATAATTACTTTGTCTGCTAAATAATTAATACGGGACTGATAGCTTATATTATTCCGTAAAATCGACATGTTAGTTTTTACTGTTACCATTCACTGACGCTAACCACTACTCCTGAGTTAATATTTCCTGAATGAAAGTGACGGGTTTCATATAACGAGAGATTCTTGACTTACTGCGCTGCATTTTCGCGAGCACCGCTACTTGCGCATCATTACGAGAGAAATGAAAATGGGTTTTGATTTTCTTTGATATAGGTTTAACGAGCTACGCCGACAGTGATTTCACTTCCACCGTGTCATGCTACGATTACTATCTGAAACGATGTAGGCATTGACATTCACGAAAAGTTTTACAGTTGCACGTGCAAGTTAATATGGGAATAAAAAAAAATATGCAGAGAGAACGTTTATTACTAACATAAAAAAATGCTTGCTACTTTAATAGTTTTTATATTAAACTTTCTTTCTGATGAAAATAGAGTGATAAAACGAAAGGAATTCGTTATCATAGATCAATTTCTCTCTCTTAATTTTTACCACATACACACTTTTACCATACACACAAACACACACACACACACAATGGGAAAGCAATACCTTTCAATTATAGTACATTAAAAGAATGAAACTGAATTAGATTCTTGTTTAATAGGTACATTGACTGTTACGACTTTCAATATTATCAGTGACACTGACCTCTCTGTTTATGCTGCGTCAGTCATCGTTAACGTTATAATAACTTAAGGTGTATAACACATAATTATACTCAATTATTAGGACTGCGCCTTGAGCGTAGTAAAAAGATAAAACAGGGTGCATGATAAGCAAAAATTAATACTTTTACTCATCATTATTCAATTTCGCATTTCATTATCTTGCTTATCGCAAACATAATGTGCTCGGCGTGAATGGAAAGTCAGCTAACTATGCTTTTAATATCTTTCCTATCAACCTTTTTTAGGTTCAACTTTGCAGAAATCGACTAAAACAATATCATTATAGTTACTTGAATGTAGCGGTTTTTGTGGTATGGAATGCAAATATCTTCTTGTGCAGCTGCTAGTGAAAGTACTAAAGAAAACAAAATGTCTCACATTACGCCAATGCCTCTGCGTTGCAACTCTAATATTAAATTACTCTTACAAACTCTCTTCTCCGAGAACGGATTGGGAGAAAGAGCAAACTTATACAAGATCGCAAACTTATACAATATCGTCATCCAGTCATTATTTTTTTGGGGGGATAAATAAATTCTTTTATCGATCGATGGATATGTTGCTCAGGTGCTTCTCTTTTTGCATAAATTACGCGCCGGTTGAAAGTGCGATTAGTGGCAACAGATACGCATAATTCACGGAAGTAATATGTGCAGATTATAGTTGTAATAGTATGTTACGAGTAAAGGCATATTTTGCGATGCTATTGAATTATTTCTCTTTTAGTCTCATTACTAGTGATCCAGAGTCTGCGAATGAGCAGTCGATTTTTTAAATAAACAAATTATTGTTACATCGACTGATTGCACGACGTATCTTGTGGCACGTACAAATGAATATCAAATTATAATTTATATCCTTTTTTTGCAGACACAGAGCAGAGAAAACTGTTTTATTTGGCTTTCATAAAATGTTCAACAATTTATTAGTAATATAAGATTTTCTGTATCGAATCATCGAGAGGGAATTAAAGAAACAATTGCCTTTTACGCTTGTTCTACCATTACTACCGTTCTATCATACCACCCCACTACGCAAGCTACTTTGCTTCGTCAGATTGGATATGTTTTCACATTTCACACTTACGCGCGTACTAATTATTACACACTGCAGAGCGTAAAGCCGATATGTGTAATTGGTTACTTTTATTTTCATGAATAGTTTATATCAAAGAGTACAATGTTTTTGAGTAAAAATAGGAAATGAATTAATGCAGAAAGCTGTATTAATTCCAGGAATACGTACGCACTATGTTTATTTATGTACTTTATCAATGTATTATAATTGCGCGTGGAGAAAAGATTTCAAAAAAGTACTTTTTAAATTTCCTTCTCTGTATTGGAACGGAAACAGTAGAAATAAAAAGACACCGCGCTCAGATTAATAATTACATGCTTACCAATAAGAAGAACATAATGTATCCTGTTTCACGTACGCCTTTTAAACCCACTTTACACGATCTATAATTCGCGACAGTATTCAAGATAGAATTCTATTTTAAAATTATAATTCTGATTGTTCAAATGTTTTCTGTATTACACGATACATAAAAATTTAAAAATGGAATTCTGTCTCGAATTCTGTTGCGAATTATAGATCGTGTAAAGTGGGCTTTAGAAATCAATTAATGAGCAACGATAAATCATGTTTGTGGCATAAATTTGAAAAAAACTTTAGAATTTGATACAAATGAGAGAAAGAAAAGACGCAAAACGCGCGTTACCATTTCTAATAATAGGTTTAATATTTCTCTCTCACTCTCTCCCTCTCTCTCTCTTTTTCTCTGATAGCGGCGAAATTGCTTGCAGACATAAATAAATCTCGAAGACTAAAACTGTTATAACCTATCAATTAATTTATCTTTATTATATATCAAGTCATATATCATCCGTTATATTGCCATGATTTCCGAAAAATTATTTTCTGCTTTTCACAGAATAATGAAAATTTCCAACTATTAAGTTAATTTATATAGACTTTTTTCTTTGGCGTTGTATGCATGTACAATGCAATTCTAAAGCGAATATGAATTATGATGTATATAAGAGGTCGTAAGTTCGTTTCACTGTCAATGGCATCCTCGATAACGGGATGTCTAGCCATGCAGACAGACGGATGCTCCTATTCCTCAACCGCGTGCATGCACGCGATTGCATGCATGAATGTCGTGAATACCCATTTACTCTAATGCACGTGAACTTTCGTATACTATATATGCACATATACATGTATATACATGTATATCAAGGTGTCCTAAGACCACCGGATATCCTTTTCATCATGGATTCTTCAGAAAATTTCAAGACAAAAAATTCTAATACAAAAATATCGAGGCTATAATAGTTTTTAAATAATAAGCGATTATATTTCACAAATGGTAGGCCTGAGATTTCGCGCACTCAGTTACGCACCCACGGAAAAAATTTCGAATCCAATGCTATTACACTTCAATGTATCATAAAGTAGGATCGATATAGCGCCAATCATATTTATTATAGAGAAAGGAATACTTTAATCTTAAATGAAAAATTCGAAAATCTAGAATCGTCTTTTACCGAATATCGTGGTGCCAGCTTCGTGCGTTCTAAGATGGAGGAAAAATTTATTCTAAACGCGAGAATATACAGGGTGTCGGATTCGATTTGGACCACTCCAAAGATTATAGTAGATTGGGTCAAACTGAGAAGAAAAGTTATATAACATTTTACAAAATCCGTAATTATTATCGCGTAATTAAGAAAACCGTCTGAGCCAATAAGTGCACGGAGGAGCGGAAGGCCGGACTCGGCAACATGCAAAATGGTGTATCTGTTGACATCTCTCAAGATCCGATAGCGAGAGGTGGAGTCACGCATCGATCGATGAGTGACGTCGGCGAGCGGGGAGCGATGAGCGGGCGAACAGCGCGCAGCGAGCGAACGCGCGACATATGACATCGCGCCGAAAAAGTTTTTCTGGTGGTAGGAGAATAATACACCATTTTGCATGTCTGCCGAGTCCGGCCTTCAGCTCCTCCGTGCACTTATTGGCTTAGACGTTTTTCTTAATTACGCGATAATAATTACGGATTTTGGAAAATGGTATATAACTTTTCTTCTCAGTTTGACCCAGTCTACTATAATCTTTGGAGTGGTCCAAATCAAATTCGACACCCTGTATAAAGTTATTCTTGTCTCAATATAGTAAGTAAATCTTTTTTAATTCGATAGAAGAGAATAAGAATTATTGATTTTACTTGAATATTGTCTTATTTTTATACAAAATGAGATTGCGAGAAATATAAACGCGTTAAGAATATTTTTTGTCTCGGTAACAGAAATTCTTTCTGAGGGTGCGGCGACACGACAAGTGATAAAAGTGTTCCTATAAATATCGTCCTTTTTAGCACAGTAACAACCTTCATGGCAAATGATATTGATCGACCACTTTGACAGCTGTGCAACACTTTGAAGTTACAACATGTTGCAAATTTTTACTCGAATTATATTTAAGATGTTTTAAGTTCACATGACCGGATATTCGGATAGGATACTAATACAACGCGTAAAGAAGTGGGAAAACGTATAGCGGCGATGTTATTGAAATTGATGCGATAAGCATATCACTTGTCACGTTGCCGTGCCTGAGCGCGCGAAATCTCAGGCCTATCATTTGTGAGATATAATCGCTTATTGTTTAAAAACTATTATAGCCTCGACGTGTTTGTTTTTGTATCAGAATTTTTGTCTTGAAATTTTTTAAAGAATCTGTGAGTAAAAAGATATCCAGGTGGTTTCAGGGCACATTATATATAATTTAGTACCAATTATATATAACATATTATATATAACACATACATATTATATGTATATGTATACATATATACAAATGTATTTATTGACGGTGAAATGGCCGACGGGAAGAAAGCGTAGCAGGAAACCAATGACATGTTGTTACGTTGGTCGACTTAACTGGTAAGACAGCATAAGTGATCCTGAAAGTACGCGGTCGCAAGGTTGATATTGTGAGTTCGCGAGAGCTGCGCGCGAGTATTTGCATTAGTATAACAAAACGAAGCATTCGTTACACACTTGAAACTTCTAATTAACGATTAGCTTTTTCGATCATGCGTGCAATTATTTCTAATAGCCGTTCCGTAAAATAAAACGTAATACTTGAACAATTAAAAAAATATTCAGATCAAAGAGGATCAATATATAATTAACATGTAC